GAACGCTGCTCTGGGCTTAGCTCTGCATTACAGAAGAACATGTTACAATGACTCTACACTGGTTTACCTCTAAATGTTTCCAGACCCTCCTCTAATCTAAACAGAAAGTATCGAAATTGTTTCCAGCCCTGCAACAAATGTAACGAATTGTTGATTTGGATTCAGCACAGTGCCCTCTACAGGCATCACCCCGTCATGACTGCTCTTAACAGCACTGCCATTGTTGTCATTTGTCCCAACAGCTTCCTTTTATGGTCTGTGGGAGGAGCCATGCAAATAATATATTTACATTCCGGTGGCAAAATGCAAATCCAGAATTTTAGCATTATAGGACAAGGATAGCCTGGGGCTGCCCCAACACAGGTGTGACGGTCCACGATCACACCTCCAGTCACCTGCAGACTTTGACAGCTGGCGGTTACAGTTTTGGCTGATGTGCGTTTTTTCCATTAACATGTCCTGAAGAAACCTCCGTTCTTCCAACTAAACTGAGGTCCGCTGACGTTCTGCTCTGGCTGTGTGTGGGTTTGAATGTTCATGATTTCCACTGCCATGTATACTGTAGGTAGATGGTCCAATGCTATAAATCCATCTTGCATGCCGCTGTTGAGAATATAGGTGCTCATCAAGGTAATATATGCAAGCAGGGAGTAAGGTTTGGGGAAGGGGGGCATAACAGAATGACCATTTGGGATATGGTGAGGGCATCAAAGTAAACAAAAAATGCTCTCCACTTAAAAGCATGACTTCAGATATGTACTCACTCAAACCCCCCCAAATTCCTCCAAGACTGAGGGGTGCTAATGTAATGACCCCTGAGTTTTCCTCAGTCCTACAGTACTGTGAGCCCAAACTGCATCATGATGTGCCCCCTAGGGCACCCTTTGGGGGTGGGGTAAATGGGAGAGGGGGATTTTGTAAAAGACAGGCTGGGCTCAGAGGTAATGGGCAGAATGACAGAGTATTGACCTGCCCTAATGGGGACCGCCAGCACTGAATCGAGGAGGAAGTCAGGAGCAGTGCTGGAGCGTGGCGAGGGTGATTGAAGATTGGCAATGTTGTTTTTTCTTCAGAAGAAAACACGGGATCAAAAATTGTTCTGCACTTTATTCTTATTACTCATTTACGGATATTCGGGTTAGGTTTATGGCACGTTTGCAGGAACGCCTCCTGGAAAACAGCAATATACTGCCTCTGCCTGGTTTGTCATAAACAGAAAAATGTCCTCCAGCCTGAAATGTGTAGAGTGTGCGTGTAGAGTGTGCGTGTAGAGTGTGCGTGTAGAGTGTGCGTGTAGAGTGTGCGTGTAGAGTGTGCTTCTTTTTTCCTTGGATAGTGGGGAAGGATCAGAGCCCCTGCCCGGTTCTCTGTTAGATTTTCCCTTTGCTTTCTGTCCTGATGACTATAGCTTTACCAGGCAGGACATGAGGGAAAATCTTCAACAGAAGTACAGATCTGACTGGGGTCTATCCTTCACCTGCGCTGCCAAAAATAAAATGTATTTTTATTGTTTGTATTACTTTTGGAGAGTCTCCCGCAGGAATGTTGTCGACAGGAAGTGAAGAGAAATCTTTGTAAATAAACCCTAGAGCGGTAGAAACCTAACGAGGCTTCTAATATTTTCCTACTGTATCCAAAACAAAGATAAAGATTTGGTTGGACACATTTTTAAAATGTTAGTTTTTATTGTGTGTGTGTATATATGTATGTGTGTGTATGTATGTATGTATGTATGTATGAGGTGTGTTTTATATGTATTGCATATATTTTAAAAGATATAAGTCCGCAAAATACAGGACTGTGTCACAATACAATTGGTGTGAATATGTTTATATAAGAAATAAGGTAGTTTTGTCTTGTCTATGCCATACTCTGCATCTGAAGGTGTGGCACAATGCATTGTACCTCATCCAGTGAGAACACGTCCTGACACATGCTTGACGTATGAGAGTACTTAAATGTTTTTAGACACAATTAAGGGGCGCAATTTACTAAAACTGGAATAGACAGAATCTGGAGCAGCTGTGCAGAGTATCTAATTGGCTTCTGTCTTCAGCTTGTTAAAGTGACATTAAAGTCAGCATTTTTTTCCCCTTCCCAATCCTGCTGTAAGGACTTATCATGATGCCTCTTGATTCAACCATCTTCTTCTTTACTGTCCTTTTCAGATGTCCCTCCAGCGCTGGTGCGCGTCTCCGATCCAGCGCTGACTCCAGTGTCCTCCTCTCCTCTGATGTCCCACATTGTCTGTGCGGGTGCACGCATGCTCCATAGACTTACCTTGTGTCTCTCCTCGTCTCCCGGCCGAACATCTAAACTGTGCATGCGCCCGCCCCAAGATCCTTCAGATGTTCGGACGGGAGCGTGCGGCGAAGACAAAGGTAAGTTTAAACCCCTTTTTTTAAAGTTTTTTTTTTGTTTTAATGTTTTTGCATTTATCTACTGCTTGCCAACAGTAGATATAATGCAAAACTCGCTGAGGGTTTAATAACCCTTTAAGCATTGAAACTGAAAGATCGAAACTGATTGGTTGCCTCTAGCAACTGCTCCAGTAGTCATAAATTCCCCTGAATGCGTTTCCTGGTGTAATCTGTGTAAAAAAAACAAAACAAAACGACAATTAGTAATTCTGAGTACCTTGATAACCAGTAAATCGGAGGCATATGTTGAAGAATGTCAGGGTCAGCTTATATGCCCAGATCAGTCTGATGCACGTCATTCATGTGATGTGGAGTGACAGGATTCTGCTTTCATTCTGAAATGTCATATTTTTTCCCTGGTACTTTTTATACTTCTTCATTCTTTGTACGTCGCAAATGGGTGTCTGAAAGGAAAACACCCCGCTGTTGCACGTGCCAGCTCATCAGACAATCCCTATACTGCATCGGGAAAGTGAAAGCTTTGGTGCGCGTAAGAATGTTTAAATGGTAAAATGATAAAAGTGCTGGTATACCGACCTTTGCTTGAGGAAATGACCTTGCTTTATTGTTGGTCACATGTCTCTAAAGGTCTAGGCATTTGATCACATGATCCCTGCTAAAGTAGTGGGTCTGTTGGTCTGAATTCAGCCTCAGCAAAGATCACATGGACATGTTCTTAGGCCTGTAGACATGGGGCCAGCACTGAAGGGAACCTAAAAGCAGCATTTTCCCAGAAAAAAAGTACCATTTTGCAGCTTCTTTGTTACACTTTAGTTATGCACCCCAGCAGTGCAGCAAACGCGACCTAGCCAAAAACTGAACTGAACTACAGGCACTTGGTGGTGGGAGGACTCGTTTAGATGGGCGGCTGAGGTGTTGGAAAATCAGGCGGTTGGTTTGTGGTTTTGCCGCTCCTCAGCAGTGTTAGTATACAGCAGGGGTAGGCAAACTCCGGCCCTCCAGCTGTGGTGATACCTCAAATCCCAGCATGCCTCTGGAAGTCATGCCTGTGGCTGTCAGTCTTGCAATGCCTCATGGGATTTGCAGTTGGCCAACTAGATGGCCAGAGTTTGCCTACCCCTGGTATACAGTGCTGTATACATTGCATCCTGCCAAATGTGACCATAGAGGTGAATAGGACTGTGCCAGAACCGCATGCCAAACACTTGGCACATGGTTACTGCGCAGTAGTTTAATGAAAAATCCCCTCAGGATCCCAAAAAAGCCATTAAAGAGGCATCAGTCTTGCCTGCTGAATGCCAGACAGCCGCTGCTTTACGAAGTCTTAAGGCTCTCTGTACAACATGTTCCAGGGCATCCCCAGGCACAGTAAGATTGAGTTGTGGAATAAGAAAGGCATATGCAGGAACCACGGGCAGTCTGTGCTGGCACTATTGTTAGTTTGGACACATGGCTTTTGCTACAGCTTCAAGAATGGCACAGCTCAGGATCACTTTCAGATCTGCCAAACGCCTCAGGGCTTTTGTACATGGACGTTTGCTTCTGATTTGCTTTACTTTCTTATACTAGCTGGTGGCAATGTAATAGCAACTCAAAGGCATCTCAAAACAACCAAAAAGCTGCCTGAAGCTAATCAAAAGCCTTTCAGGAGCAAGTCAGAAGTGCTTGAGGAGCAATCTAAGGTCCTTATCTCACATGCATACAGGGCCAATTTAGACAGGAGCCAGTTAACTTACCAGCATGTCTTTGGCGTGTGGGAGGAAACCCACACAAGCACAGAACATGCAAAATCCATGCAGATGGTGTCCTGGCCTGAATTTGAACCGGGGACCCCCAGTGCTGCAAGGCAGAAGTGCAAACCACAAGCATGCTTAACCTGCGGTATATACTTGTTAACATGTATTGCTATTGCAAATGCATCGCAGTGCCCTGCCTAGGTGTGTTGGGGTGTGACATTCAAAATGAATGGCACCCTAAGGCACCTAGTCATTGCACACAACACCCCTTAATGTCAGATACTGCAATGGCATTGCAACGCGCCGTTCTGTGTATTTACCAAAATGCACTGTTGTGAAGGGTCCCTACAAAATTCAGATATTCCCTTAGTGAGATCTGTTGCTCGGTCCGGAGGTTTCAGTCCCAGGGGCTGTTTGTTCAGTCTGCTCATTCCCGATGACTCCGTGCGTGGCTAAAATTTTGCAGCCTGTTTTGCAGTCGTTACTCTTCTATTGTTGGGAGATGCAGCTGAGCGCAGTCCTGTAATTGTTTCCAATCTTAGCACAATGCTCCTCATTACTGTGCAAGGGCCGTGTCCTAAATCCCTGCTGACAGTATAGGCTGTATATCTCCCACAAGTCTGGGATCCTAATCCCAGCAGCAGAACGAGGGACCTTTCCTGGCACTGCCATAAGGGACTTGCTTTACAAGCTGTTGACTGAGCTCAGTCTGGTCGGTGCTGAGGTACTCGTGGCTGTGTGTCTGTTTTCCTCCCCTGTGTGATCTGTGTGCTGCTTGCAAATGAAACTTGATAACATATTTGTGTCATTCGTTTTTGTTTTGTTTTACCTTTTTTTTTTTTTTGTCTGATATTTTAATATATATGTATGTGTATTTTTGCAGGTTACTGCATCAGGTTAGAATTACCAATACCATGGAAGTAGAACGACCAAGTGAAATAAATGCTAATCTACTAGGTAAGAGATTGCCAAATGAAATGACATTTATTTTATTATAACAAAACACCCTTTTATTTGTTTTTGTGTGCTTTGTTATAGATGTGAAAATGATTTGCTCCTTTTTATTAGTGTTTATCAGTATTAGCAGAACAGAGTGTGAGTGCCGAATCATATCGGTATTTTGTTCTTTTCGAGATAAGGAACTTTCGTTGAATGTTTACAGACGCCCTACAGCCAGCTGTTTTGCTGGGTTTTCTATTTTATTTTACTTTATTTTTTTAGGCTTTTTGTCCTCTTTTTTGATGTGGGAGGGTTAGTTCACACCAGCCCCAGTGCATTTCAGGCCCGGTTTGGTGCTGGAACGCACTGGATCGCATCCCAGCCGGCTCACTTTGTTTTGGGGCAGGAGGGGGCATGGCAGTGCATTGAAGTCAATGGTACAGCAGCCTTGCCCTCCGGCCGCAGTGTGATCGCCTGCACTGGAGCATGTGGCACATCAGCGCGTGCGTTTTGTCCGGTGCGATTAGAAAAAATGCTGCATGTACTATTTTTTTTCTGACCGTACTGGACTGCCACATGTTCCGGTGCGGGAGATCGCACTGCGGCCGGAGGGCGTGGCTGCTGTACCATTGACTTCATTGCACCGCCATGCCCCATCCCTCCCCAAAACAAAGTGAGCAGGCCGGAATGCAATCCAGTGCGTTCCGGCACCAAATCGGGCAGGAACGCACTAGGGCTGGTGTGAACTAGCCCTGAATATTAGAAAGTTCCACTGTACCACCCACACCACAACCCCAAAAATACATAAAAAAACTACAAGTGAAGGGGCTTTACAGGTGTTCATAAAAATCAATTACATATATTGAAATATACTAATAAAACGCATACTTAAATAATCCTGGATACCAAATGTTAAAACCACATTAAAAAAATCAAGCGCAGGTTGTATAACAATTGCCTCGGAGACAAAAACCACAGATAGTAATATCTTGAAACATTATGTATAGACAAATATATAAATGTCTAGTCCCAGCAGGTTACATCCTTCTTCAAGTTGAGTGTTAGTTTACATTAGAATATGAAATCCAAAGGTGTGGCTTTGTCTTCTACACGTTTCACCCCTTGCCGGGGGGCTTCCTCAGGGGAGGCGTTGTATAAACTTCAAACAATAAAATCAATGCAGTAAATCTACATAATCGTAATATAGAATAAATATATGGATGTGAAATGCATATCTCATCATGTGCTTACAACCACTCTGGGCTTGATCGTTGGGTCAGAAGATCAGCCTACAGTGTGCGTCTATGGCGGAGGGGAGAGAAGGCCACATGACACCACCCAATCTAAGCGACCACCCCACCTTCCATAGATACCAGTCCAGACCACAGCAGCAAAGTTCAACTCTAAAAAATTTAATTAAATGTACTGCAACAAAGTGATAAGGCCTTTCCAAACATTCAAAAGACTCCTTATAGTTACACACTCCATCTTCTAAATGCATTATCTATAACATTCAAACCCACCGAGAGAGCTGGCCCTACCCTGTACTCTCTTATACACCCAGATAATAGGAGAGGGTTAAACCGCTAAAGATAAACACTCCCAATAGCATTGTAATCACCGTGTGTCTCCCATCAAAGCGGAGTAAAATGAGAGAAGACATGTCCGATATTGATTGCAGCACTTTTGAGTGCCCAATATTATAGACCAGGGGTAGGCAACCTTGGCACTCCAGCTGTTGTGGAACTACAAGTCCCATGAGGCATTGCAAGACTGAGCCACAGGCATGACTCCCGGAGGCACGTGGGGTTTGAAGTTTCACCACAGCTGGGAGTGCCGAGGTTGCCGACCCCTGTTATAGACCGATACCGATCTCTGTCTCTTAAGAACATCGGAGCGCTCCGTACAGATCAGGATCTTCTGCTTAATAATTTTCTCTACCTGTCAGCTTCATGAATTAGAGGGGAATCTTCCAATGGGGGACGCTTGCTGCACTGATAACTGTCTAACATGGGATTTCCTCTCATTTCCTGTTGTGTGTACAGGACAGGAAGAGAAGGGAAACAACCAATAGGACACAGATGACATAAAAATATATTCGGAGTTATAACCATTCCTTACTCTTGCCACACACCCCACACTTGATTTTTCACAGTTCTGGCAATCTAATACAAGGTCAGTTGGTGGTGTCACCCTCTCCTGGGGAATTCCTCATTATGTAGAATAGATAAATACTTGTAGAGCCCAGCAGTGAGGGAGTGACACCTTCAATGTTATGGCGAAATGCTGACCACGGGATGTACAAGGAAGTGAAATTAAAGGGCGATTCCATCCACTGACGATCATCAGAAAATGAAACCTCAGTTTTGTATAAAGCTGACTCTCTTATGCAATATTTATTTTTGTTCTTAAAGGTTAACCGCTTTGCACCCGGAGCAGATTTTTTTACTTCTGCACACATGTTAAAATCTGAATTTTTGGATAGAAAACAGCTTAAAACCCCCCAAACAATTATATAGTTTCTGACAGGTAGAATAAAACAACGCTAGGTGCAACCTTTTTATGTAGCACAAAATTTGCGCAAATTAGGGATGCACTCAAAAGTTCGGCCGCAGGAACATATCGGACGAAAATGGCAGTTTGGGCAAAATTATATCTTTTGGATGAAATTGCGATGCTGGTTTCTCTCCTCCCTTGCTGGGCACTGCTCTATGTCTCCTCTGATACAGAGCAGCGTCCATCGGGGAGGAGAGAAACGTTCAGAAGGGCCGCAGAGGAGAGCACTATGAGTGTGTCGCAGGAGGCCGAGCTCTTCTCCCGCACTACCCCGCTCGGCCTCCTGTGACAGATCAGGATGGAGAGTGGTGTGGGGAAGGAGACAGTTGTCAGCTGTCACAGGGGGCCGGACCGGTGGTGCAGGGGAGGAGTCAGCTGTGCCACACAGTACAGCCAGGGGGACGGCACCACATTTATAGATTGTAGAAAAATTACAGTGCCATAATTTCTCCACCCCAAGTCTCTCTTATTGAACAGCGAAGGAGGCACAGGAGGCAGTTGAGTTCATCCTTCTGTTTTCTTTGCTTCTCCTATCAGCATGCTCCTTGTCCACATGTTTGCATGCAGCCCACCTGATTGGCTCCCAGTCCTGCCCCTCTCCTAGTAAGGGAGCTGCCTTATAGGAGATTACAAAGGGCTACTACCATGTGAAATTCAGGTACTTACACTGCTTGAATTCATAAAATACACTTGTGGATGTATTTATGAATATAGAGCTGCATTCATTTATGTATCCTATATCTGCCTGCAATTCAAATTTAAGGTTAAACCCCGAAACTGTTTTAACTAGTTTTGGTGAGCGTAGTTTTTTGTTTTTTTTCTTGTCTAACCCAATGGGAAGATTTCCTTTGCTTCCTGCCCTGCTGACCACAACAGGAAGTGAGATCAAATCTCTCCAAAGTGAGGAAATTACTCTCAGGCAGTTGTCACTGGGAACAGGTACCGCCATTGGAAGATATCCCCCCCCGCTATACTTGCTCCATTGACCACTCCAATTTTTTGGTTCTGGTGGCAGTGATCACTTAGCCTCATAGAGGGGGTCAGTCCCTTTTTTGGGGGACAGTACTAAAAGCTTGACAGAGTTTATAACCCCTCTATCAAAAAATAAAATAGTTTCGACTTTAGATACACTTTAGGGCATTATTATAAACCAGTGACATTCACTAAACATTCACTGGCGGTGAATCAATGCTTCTTTTTATAAACCCCATTTAAGTTCTATTGCTCCACTAACATTGTGCCATTTCCGCAGACGCCGAGAACCTGAACGATTCCCTGTTTGATGGGGATGAAGAGAACACCGGAACGGATCAAATCAGGAATGAAGTGAATGGAAACGGTTCAGTCTCTTCAATTAACGAGGCCAAACTTCACGCCAAAGCCAAGAGACGCCTGCGCAAAAATTCCTCGCGGGACTCTGGGAGAGGCGACTCGGTCAGCGATAATGGGGAGAACGCTCGAGGGGTCCTACCCACCAGCCCAAAAGCCAAACTTATGGACCGCAAGTCACGGACCGGCAAAGGGAGGGGGCTGCCAAAGAAAGGTTTGTCAAGCAACCGTCTCTTCGTTTTATATCGGACGTTTTATATAACCCGGCTTTATTTACTTCCTGCGCAGTGATCCGAAAGTAATGTTTTGGCACCTCTGTGAGCAGATGAGATCATTGCTTGGTCAAAAATCGAATGCCTACAAAGTTTTTGGTGGGTTACAATACCAATCTGATTTTATATAATTCTACCAGAACAAGAGCTGACTAACTTTGTACCTATGTAAGACACCATGCCGGACTTTAATGGTACCAAATTAGAACTTCATCAAATTCAAATATTTTTTATTTTATATAGTTATTTTAAGGATGCACTGACACTGGGCATTTTCACCAGTACTCGCTGCCGAGTTGCTTCAATTTAAGAAGTTAAAGCACCGGTATCGGCTTTTAGTATCGGTGCATTTTCACGACTACTCAAAATCGAAATAATTATGCACCACAACTGTAATGCAGTAAACAGAGCAAAGTGCATGACGCTGTAATCTGTAGAAGACAACCAGAGATTCAACTCTCAATTCAACCTCTTGTGAAAATAATTGTTGCTGTTTAAACTGTGACAAGGTGCCTTTGGTGCACTCAGCTCAGCCTGATTTGAGAGCCATAGAGACCCTCTTGCTGGCTGCATTCAGAGTCCATTGACCTCTTCGGGTTGTATTGCTGGGAGGGTAAATTTTTGTTTTGCTGAGTGCTGTGGGAAGCATCATTTTGTGTAAGAACAGCCAGGGTCTTAGGCAGTCTCTTGCTTCCCATGTTTTAAAGGCCATCCTGGGGAAAACCCACCACACCATCCCTCCCACCCATTTATTCACGACCATAAAAAAAAAATTACTTGTTTGCCATCTCATGATCCTCCGCGAGTGCAGACCGGTGTAGATAATCAAGCAACTAATCGATTATGAAAATAAGTTAGCTGCATCCCTAGACCGGTGATCCGCCATTGTTGCCTGGGCCCGCCGCCGGCTGATCTTGTTGCCATCTCTGGTTTTGTTGCCATCTCTCAGTGATTGCCACTGGAGTCTTCAAGAACTTATGAGGACAAAGGACAGTCAAAAGGTGAAGTGTGAACGTCTACAGGTAGCAATCTAAAGACAGACCCTTTTTCTGACCCAGAATCTCATGTAAACATGAATTCACGTAAGTATTTGCAGAATTCATTTTTTGTTTTAACCTCTGGAGTAGGGCTGCAGCAACTAATCGATTATGAGAATAATTGGCAACTATTCTGATTATCGATTAGCTGGTTTGGAGAGAGAAAGTTTTTTTTTAATACAACTAATCGATTAATCGAAGTTAATAATCGGCTAATGAATCGATTATGAAAATAATTGTTAGCTGCAACCCTGCTCTGGAGGATTGGCTAGAAGGGTATACATTTTAGCGGTATAAAATAAGCCCGTATGATGCAGAATGATATGACGGAAGGCCGTAAGATGCAGAATGATATGACGGCAGCACAATTGGCTTTTAGAAGGATAAATTAAATAATTATTGTAACTTTATCCTGTTTTTTTTTTTTTTTTTTTTTTTGTGGAGCTGGTGGTAAAGGGGTATGGGGGACACCAGGGCAAGTTTATGATGTAGAAGAAGTTGACATCAAAGATCCAAATTATGATGATCAGGTAAGTCCTGGTAACTTCAATTGTGTGGAAGAAATAAAGCTGGTAAACTGGTTCAGTAAAGGTGGAAATAGGCATGTATTCACTGTGTATAGCACCTATACATTCTGGTGCCATGCACACCTGTCATGTGTTTATTTTAAAATACACTTAACCCGGAAAAAGTATTACGCTTAGATTTTCCCTTGATTAGTAGGCACCAGTTATCTACGCAGTCATCCTGAGATGGCACTGCTAGAACCTGCTGGAGCTCCTGTGCTAATATCAACTTTCTAAAATCCTTTATTCTGTACATTCTTAAGTAGGATGCACGCTTTGAACTACAGCTGGTTCTCGATGAATCAGCTGAAATTTGCTGCATGGGTGCCACTGACGGCACCCTTCTGCCCAGCATCCATCAATCAGCTGACCAAAGAAGCAGGTCTGAAAATTCTCGGCCGAATGGCGCTAGCAGCAAATCAACAGCTAGCTCTGCTTGAGTATTCTGACAGTAGCCGCCAAGGAAACTACAGGGATTTGTCCATTAATGCTCATAAGTGTTAATGGAGGAATCTGTTATATTTTTATTTTTCATTCAGCCCGTGGGTTGAACGAAAGAAATAGAACCGTGTATACCCAGCTTTGGACACATTCCACTCCCCATGACTGTTCTTGAGCGTATAAATAATCCACTCAGGCCTATAGAGACTGTGAATCTGTCCAGAGAGGAAACTGGCGGCAATAAAAACTGGACCGGGTTTCTAATACTTTTCTACACCATACAACCCTAAAAAAAAATGTTTTGGCCTAAGATGCACTAGATGTTCACAGAGCTGAATAGGTCCAGTTCAAATTATACATCTGAGTAATTCAGAGAAGTGACTTCTTTCTCCCCAGTTGTTCCCGCCCCCTCTCCTGTCTGTCCTTCCAATGAGCACCGGGGGAACAGAGGGGGTAAGGGGGAAGCCTTGTGGGGAGCCATGATGACTGACAATCACCACTCTGTGCAGGGAGAAGACCGTGAGCTTAGTGATCAACGCATTGTGATTGCTTAGTACTCGATCTACAGCTAAAACTATTGGGGAGCAGGGGCGTCCCGAGCCTGAGTGTCACCTGGAGCAGATACTGGGTGACACCCCGCCGTGACATCATCGCGCATGCGCGGCCATCCTATTGATACCTGCCGGCGGCCATCTTGGCGATAGACGCAGGCAGAGAGAGGAGGGGGATGTTCATCTGGCGGAATAAGGTATGCCGCCGGGTCCCCTCCTCTCTCCCGAAACTGTCGGGCGCTTGGTCCATGACCGAGTGCCTGACTTTTCAGAGGGGGGTGACACCAAAATGACTGCCAGTCATTTTGGTGTCACCCCCTCCAATGGTGTCGTGCGGGCTGCACCCCCTTCCCCCCCCTTGTGACGCCACTTCTTTGGGAGAATACATTTTACTCTCCTAGCAGTTCTTCTCCTTTAAGATTTCATATTAATTGCTAAGAAAAAAAAGAGATATGACCCATCAATTTATAAATTGAAAAAAAGTTTAAAGCTGAGCTCCAGGCTTTTTTTTTATAAACCGATATATCTTTGCGCTGGGGATCCCCTCGTACTACAAGGTGTAATTCTTGCCTCATACTCGCACTGCAGGCTTCTGGTGCTTTCCTCTTCTATTAATGAACATTTGAAGCTTGCAGTGTCGGGAAGGCTCCCATTGCAAGGGTAGTTTTTTGTAAAAATTCCACACTTTAGCTTCAAATGTTTTAAAAAGTTTCTGAAATTTGCTCAAAATCATTGTAGTTCCCCTTTATTAAATAACCGTTCCCTAGGAAATGTGGGCTGAAAACCTCTTCTCTACTGCCGGTTGAAAGAAACAATCAAAAAGCAGAAATGAAACTATCCGGTTTCTCTACTTTGATTTTGCAAGAAAAGTTCTGTTTACAGTGATTTGGGATGTCATTGGTAACGAAAAAAACAAGAAAAATGTAAAGGAAATCTAATGCAGAGACAATGTTTCAAAAGCAATGGATAAGATATGAAGATATTAATTTTTCTGAATGTACGGTTTAGCCATAAAAACTTGGGAAGTGGTCAGTCAGCGAGCCCTCTGTACCATTTTTAAAGCACATATTGGATAAGAAAACAGCCGACAACACCTCATTAATTTCAGCGTGGCCGTGTCTGTTTACCCTGCACATCTCCCAGCCAGGACTGCTTGTGCGGCTGTTTTTCTTTTGCTCATTTGTTGTGTACTGCAGATCCCCGTGCCAGTGGAAGTGCTGGAGGGATTGAGCTCCGTATTATTTCATGTTTAATAGTTCAGCAGTCTGAGAGAAAAGGCAGTGGGTCCTGCTTTGTTTGCTCCGCCGCATTTGCTGATTATGCATTTTTGTTTCCCCTCGTGTGAATTTTTATAGGACAACTGTGTTTACGAGACGACTGTGCTCCCCTTGGATGAAAACGCATTTGAAAAGTCTGTGACGCCAATCGTGCAGGAGTATTTCGAACACGGAGACACCAATGAAGTTGCAGTATGTTACCCCAGTTTTTATTTTATATGGGCAAAAATTAATAATTTTCTGTATCATGCTTACAAGGTGTAAGGACTACTATTGCAAAACCTAATGTATTATATTTGTATGTGGTTAAAGGGAAACTGAATTTTGCAAACGGTGCCCAATAAAAGCCTGGCAGGGGGAAGAGAACTAGGCATCAATATTGCTTGTGGTCACCCTGCAGCTGATCTTTTCCCCATTACTGACTTACCTTGCCTTGTTCTGCACTGTCACTGCATGGGGGCAGCCATCTTGGTAAAGACATGGCTTTGCTTCCCCATATCAGAGCCTGCAGCAAGATTAACAGTGAGTGGCAGAGTAGTGACCTTGCCAAATCTCACGCCGGATCTCCTGAGACTATCAGTCAGAGGTAGCAGTGCCTGAGATCTCACAGTGCAGATATACAGCTATCAGGCTGTATGCACACAATTGCCTAGACACACTCGCAAAGCAGGAACTGCACTGCTGTTTTTCAGGAAGGATTGAAGACAAGACATGAAAAAGCTTCATAATAATGTTTCACAATCCATTGGGTTGATTTTATTGAAGTAGCTAAAGAGCTGAAATGGGCTAAGTGACGAAGTCTCTTTTTAAATCCGCCCGATAGTTTCCCTGCTACTTCTTCCCCCATCACAGCTGCCACAAAATGCCCCGTGAAAGCTCTGTGTCAGAGTAAACATGGGGTTAACTGTGTTGCCCCTCCATCATGACTAGAGTTCAGACCTGGCACATGGCTGCTATGCCCCCCGAGCACAGCATCATGGGAGGTCACATCATATACCCAGAAACACTGGATAGTTTGCCAAAAGAAAGTAAGTACTCCTAAAACAAGTCACTGCACAATACTAAAAAGTGTATTCATGCAAGTACAAAAAGCTTGAGACTGTAAAATTACAAACAATAGATCTTAGCCCATAGAAATACTTGTAAACCCAGTGGAATGCCCATAATCGACAGTAACCTGCCTCTAAAACATGCATCGGAGACGGATGCTTTTTTCACCGATCTCTGTAAAGGACTATTAGTGTAAAGCAATATCAAACTAAAATAATTTGCACATGTAGAGTAAAAAAATACAGAGCTGAGCTGAAGAGAGAATATGCATGTGTTGGCTAGGATAGAGATAAATGTAAACCCGAGGGTGGCAAAGATGTAGTTTTTGTGGCAGATGCAACAGAGGGGAGGAGGGGTAAGGGAGTCTTCAGAGGTGACTATAACTGGGGTGGGCTTTGAAGAGACTCTGTCACTTTGCCCATTATGATAAAGTTTCTTTATAGTGCAATCACTAGGGCGGTGAGGTGCCCTTTACCTAGGCATTGCTCCCTGTTTTTTGGGGGCTCAGCAATTGTTGCATGTATTAAAGTCTCTTTTAAAAATTTAACTCTGGGCTTCACTCAACTGCAGGAATGTGGACAGGATTGTGGGCGGGTTCATGGCCTATGCTTAGTGTTCCGTTTGCATAGCCTGTCAATTGCTTGCAGCAAGGATAGATGGATGTGACAGATCAGGAGTCTCCTGGCCTGTCAAAGTGTTAGGTCATGGTGAGCAGGACAGACCAGAAATCTCCTGGCCTGTCAAACAATGCTGTGTTAGCGGGTAGGTCAGACTGGGAGTGGAAGACACGGCTCATCCCGTTACAGCAAACAACCATGTACTTATCTCACCATTCACTGCATAGGAATGTTACACGACCGGTGGCCAGGGAGATAGTGGGCACAGCGGCCACTTCTAATACAAAACAGAAATAAAAGAGACTCGGCCATTATTTTGAACGATTCAACTTGGGATTTACCAATTCAGACCAAGTTATTCACTAAAGGGTGAAGGGTTTGGAGAAGGCCGGAGAAGTGAACAATCTAGGACAACATAGCTGAACTGGAGAATTTTTCCAAAGCAGCTATTTTGGCCTAGATTGTTCACTTCTTCTGCCTCTTCACCCTTTAGTGAATAACCCTGAGAATAGTGTCTTTAAGCCACACAGCAAATGGGAGGAAATAAAGTTTCTTTTTGGATGACCATATCCTGTATGTTTGCTCTGTTCAGCTAATGATGGAAAGATCTGCTCTGTTGCTCCGGGCTGCAAACCAATCCTCGTTTGCTGTCTGAGCAATAAAAGTGTATTGCAGTGTGAGACAACAGACCTAACACAGGTCTAAGACAATGGCGTGTTTTATAGAAAGATTTAGAATAGAATTCCTGAGCTATAGTAACAGACCAGGTTATTTAAAGAGCTTTCTTTGCCATATACACAGACATTGTTTAGAATTGTAAACAGTAGTCCAAACAGCATCGGCTCCGGCAAGCATTTGCATCCACCTCGGGTCTAAAACTAAAGCTTATTTTGGATAGAATAGGACAGGGGTAAAGCTTATGTCAGGTTTTTATTTCTTTCTTGGGTTCATAAATGCTTTAACAGGAGTGCTGGTTGTGGCTTTAGTAAGTGGTGACAGCTGGAGGGTCACACAAGTGCATGACAGGCACCCTCTGGTGCTATAATCGTACCTTTTAGTGCTCCTGTCTGACCCTAATATCTGCCAGTGTTAGCCCTCTGATAGACTTGAACATCTGAGCACGGACCAGCTGTGCAGGCTTCTGTCTCCCAATGCGGGGCTCAGTGCTTGAAAGTATGGCTTCCAGTCATGCCCCTATGTGAGCTTTGTGCTCACTAAGTTTATAGTTAATAGTGTCTGTCTTTACAATCTCAGATTTATTTCAGTCTCCTGAAAATAAATAGCACAACGGCAGATTTTGCTCTTGTCAGTTCTCTGTTGTTCCCGGGATAAGTCAGTGAAGAGAAGGTTTTCCTATAAGCACCCCGTCCTCTCTACATTTTCAGTGTGTTAACGCAGAACTCCAGTTTGGTTTTTTTACTTCTCTTTTGCAGAGGGGGTTTCTCCACTTTTTCCCCTGTGCGTTAAAGCCCTGCATTACAGCATGCAGCTCACAGACATCTGGGTCATGTAGTCCCTGCATCACCTCAGCTCCCTGCCCTCCATCATAACAAAGCAAGGAGAAGAATAATTATTATTATTATTATTATTATTACATAGTATTTATAGAGCGCCAACAGTTTGCGCAGCGCTTTACAATATAAGGAAGACATTACAGTTACAATACAATTCAAGACAAGATGGTAAGGAGGGCCCTGCCCCTGAGGGCTTACATTCTAAAAGAGGAGCGGGAGGTGATACATGAGGAGGTAGCTGTGTGTGGATGAATTATTTGAGAATGTGATGGTTCAGTGGTTAGGTTGAGGTGGGATAGGCTTCCATGAAGAGATGAGCCTTTAGACTTGGGATTGGACTGGATTAGTCACCTGACTGCTACATTACAGTCCTGGAAAAGGGTGTTCAGCTAGAAATGTCAGATAAATAAAGAGTAGAGAAGGAGACGGGAGGAAAGGATTACTTTGAAGTGTGGAGGTTTGGAGTTCTACTTCAATACTTTCATATGTCTAATTCTGAGTTAGTTATGGGTTGTTGCCATGAACAGTCTTTACTCTCAGCATTCAGGTATGCCATCTGTACACTGAAGAGAGAACTGTCACTTCCATTGGGCCATTGGCATCTGTTCTACTTTAGCACTCAATGTGCAGGTTAGAATGGGGCTCACACCTTCAGGTCCACCTTTTATAATGACGTTTGGTTTCCATTAATATAGTTACAAAGTAAAAAGACAACAATACACTGTGCTGTTCATTGAACTATAAAAACAATGTAAACAGAGGTGTGGGCTCATGCTAAGAAAACACTGTGGTGTCAGAACAAGGCTGCATGTCAGAATAGGTGATGTCACACCTACACAGCTATCCATCATCCTGAACTTCTGAACACTAATCTTCTCTTCTATGCTCCACATCCAGCCAGAACTTGTTTTTCTTTGTTTTGAAAGGAGTGGAGAAGGTTTTAAAGGAGAACTATGAGGTAAGTGCTTTGCACTCACCTCATAGTTCTAGCCGACCTGTGACAATGAGACTGTCATAGGTCGGCTCAGTAGATCGGGAGGTGAGAGAACATATACCGGCGTTCGCTCACCTCTTGATCCTGTCACGGCTCTCTGCCGTAACAGGGGAGACTTCATGAGACTCTGTTAGATTTCCGCCCACTTCCTGTCCTACTGACAATGCTTTACCAGGCAGAAAGTGAGGGGAACCCTCCAACAAGTGACACAGACTGAAATAAAAAGGGAGGGTTGTCAAATCTCTTGTAAGCTGTAAATTTTCCTGAAATAATGACATTTTCATCCTTTGAGGAAGACAGCGGGCGGCCAATCGAAGTCCCCCGAGTGATTTGGTGTATTTCACCACAGAGGGAAGGAAAGGACTCTTATCTGCACAGTTTCTGTTGGGGAACAATTCCCGGAGGGGTGTATCCGTACATTCCAGAGCTCGCAGCCCTTCTCTGCACCAGTTTGTGGCCGGTCCTCCTGCCAGCTGTTATGTTCACATACCCAGCCACGCTCGGCACTGTCTAGAATGAAGCAGCCGAATGCAGCAGGGAAGGCTCTCGCCTGTTCTGCAAACCCAAAGTGATCTGATTACAAAGCAAATATTTAAGATTCTAACATGTGTTCCCATTTCCTGCGTGCACAAGGAGCGTTACAGATAATAACCTGGCACTTGTGTAATTAGCCTGTTGGCTTTCCCAAATTGGGACCTTTTGGTTCTGTGCCATCATTCTGCTTGCACAGCTGTTTTACTTCCATAATTGCTAGTTTGCGTTCTCTTAATAGTGTTTTTAAAGCTGTCGCAAACCTGGATGAATCAAACTAAACCTATGAAGAATGCATTAATAGGCTCATGTTTTTTTAGGTTGTGGATAGGAAATGGTTAAAAACCACTATCAGTTTATTTTTTGTCTGTGTTTTTCTTTTGGGAAATTTCCCTTAATTTTCTGTCTCAGAGATGCAACAGGAAGTCACAGGAAATCTCTAGATTGTGAGGGGAAATCACGTCGGGTGCCGCCAAACACTAATAGATTTTTATTTTTTTCCATTTCGCTAACCAGGCTATTGTAATTCAGCAGTCGTTGCTCCAGTGGCTTCTGAATACCCGCCGCACAGGTTCTGCTACCCCCGCACTGCAAGGGTTAACTGCAACCCGTTTTGGTCTAGGGGCTAAAATAAAGAAAACCTACTCGACTGGCCCTCGGCAGCGAGCGCTCACCTCTCTCCCCTCTGCTCCAAACGCTCATCTCTCTCCTCTGCTCTGGCAGTGGAACATTGCTCAGCATCCTCACGTCTAATGTAGCTGAGATCATGGGGCCATAGATCGCTGGAGCCTGGGGGAGAAGAGGCCGGGGAACCGGTGAGTATATGTTCTTTATTTGAGCCCCTAGGCCCCCCACCCAGGCCAAAATGAGCAGTTAACCCTTGCAGTATGGGGGTAGCCCTACTGCAAGGGCTTAATTTTTACATTTGCAAGAGAAGCTTCTCTTTCCCAGAGATTTAGGTAGCTGAAGATTTTTTGCATATCTTTGTTTTTAGAAAGCTCAGGTTCCACTGGGAATTTTAAAGCTCCCTGTCTCAATGACTTCCTGCCAGATCCTGGCACAAAGTTTGCCCCCGGGATGGGAAGTTAAATCTCACCAACATGGACCTTGATGATCCAAAAAAAAATACTGACAAATGTTCTAACCCTTCTAAACTAAATTTAAAATAAAAAAAGTGAGAAAAGGAGATTGTGGACAGAAGTAAAGCTATGAGGGTGGTAACAAGCACGTGGATCACTGTTCACTGGGACGGTTTCCTGTATCTCACTAGGCCTCCAGTGGAGGAATCTCTGCACACCCGCTGTGGCCATTACTAGGGCTTCCCACTCTTCCTGCTGGATCTTTAATTGGTTTTATATTGTGGTGAATGCCGCAGGCGGAGCTGGGATCCTCTAATGTGCGGGAACACCCAGAAGTCTAAGGTTGGCAGGAACACACCTGGGGAACAGGGATATCATGGCTGGAGTCTCCAGGACAGAAGAAGCAGACGTGACTGAGCTTGTAGAGCAATAATTAAAATGTCTGTTTTTGAAAGGAAGGGGGGGGGGGGGGGGGGACTGGGTGAGAAAAAAGGTGCTGGGCCGCTTTTAACCCTAATGCAAAGAATGCATTAAGGTAAATTTTCTCTGCAGGAGATGTTAAGGGATTTGAACCTCGGGGAAATGAAGAGCGGCCTCCCAGTGCTGGCTGTGTCCCTGGCACTAGAGGGAAAAGCCAGCCACCGGGAGATGACATCGAAGCTGCTGCACGATCTGTTCGGGACAGTGCTCAGTGCGCAAGACCTGGCATCCTCATTTGACAAACTTCTTCAAGAGCTGCCCGAACTCGCCCTGGACACACCCAGGGCACCACAGGTTTGTATGCACCTTATGTGAGCTAAAGAGAAATTCCACTTTGTGTTGTTCTATTATAATGTCAGCTGGGTGCGGAGGAAAGGAAAAAAAAAAAAAAGGTACTGGTTCCACTCCTTGTACTTAGGACATTAAAAAAACAGAGCGCCAGGCTAAAAAATAGAGCTACCTTCATATAGAAACCATTCTTACTTTGTATTTAGACATGAGACCAGGAAAAGCTATTAACACAACTCGGGGAAGAAAACAATGATGGAAACTTTAGGATCCAGGCAGTCCAATCATGGAGCCAATAAGCATGCTTAAAGATACACTGTTACTGTGCTTATTCCAGGCAAAATAGTACTGCTTCCTGATAGTATAGCCCTTCGCTCTGTTGCTTTAAAGGTGCAGGGCTCCTGGGTATAACTGGGTGGATGGTGTCACTGCCTTCCTCATATGACAGTGTTTCGGACCTAGCAATTGGCTGCTGAGGCCCAAGCAATGCTTGGAAGCTGGAGCTTAGTGGACTCCTGCATCGGGAAGGAGGCGAGGGGAAAGTGGTAGCGTGAATCGGTGAGTATACCTTAGCTGAGGGGGTGGGGTTTCGGTAGACACTGTCACTTTGCCCTGAAGAAGCAAAGTGACAGCATCTCTTTTTAAAGTGTTCCTTGCTTTGCCTGTGCAGGGTAAAGCAACCAGTCCACTTAAATAATGGCCCACAAGCTGCCCATACCTTTTCTTTTAATCGTCTGCATCGTTCAGCCACCAGGAGCCCATTGGGACCAGAGGGGCCACTATGAACCTGTTGCTTTGGAAAGTGGACAAGTAGAGCTTTGCAAAACAGGCAAAGAAGAGGTTACTTTTAGCTGTCATTAAGGTACTGCACATGCTATAAGAAATGGTACCTCAAGGTACCACTACATACGGTATACTTGTAACAGTGCTGTGCTGCTTGTGCATACAGAAGCCCCCAAGAACTAGGCGATAACCAGTATGCAAGCAGATGCATATCTCTCCTGGCCCCTCTCAATTGGCTGTTGAGGCTTCCATCATTGCACTGTGGGATGCCGGATGCTGTGCCTGATCTATGACTTAGAACAAAGTCAGTATTTGCATTCTATTCCTTTCATTTTGGAGTTGTGCTAGAGAAGAATTCTTCCAAACCATTAGCAGCAGCTTGTGGTGCCTTCTATTACTTTGTAGAGTCTGTTTTTAGTAGGCGTCCTAGTGATGGGGGTTCATTTCTGAACTTCCCTAACGTACTAACATAACAAAATCTCAGTATAGTCAAGAAGTTAGTGTGTGTCCGGGATTCCAGGTAGTCCAGAACATTTAAATGTAGTCTAAAACTTATATCCTGTGTGTGGCCATGCCTTCCCCTCGGCAAGTCACATCCGTGCATTAGAGAACACCATATGTAAGCTGTGCTGTCAGGGATGGGCACATACACATAACACCTCGTTCACACCTGAACGTTTTGTAGCGCGTTCTACGCTCGACGAACGCTCTACAAAACGCTCAAACATCTAAATCCCATTGTATTCAATGGGTCTGGTTCACACCTTGGCGTATTTCAGCCCATCCCTAACGCGCTACAAAACGGCCCACGCCTGAAAAGGTACATGTACTACTTTGGGCCATTTTTGTTGCGCGTTTCCATTGGGATACAGCCAAGTAGCCCTCGGAAACGCGCGTTTGTCGCGTGATTTTTTTTTTTTACCGCGGTAAAAAAAAACGTGCGACAGACGCGCATATGCAATACGCCTAGGTGTGAACCAGGCCTAATATTGCAGGAAGTTACATTTTCAGATTGTGTATTAGCTGCTCTACTAGTGTGTAAAAAATTAATGTGTTAATTGGCTGTGTGCAGTAATTTAATTAGCTGGTGGTTTTAAAATGAATGTTGTTTTTAATAAAAATAGTTTATTTGTACAAGGAGTCAGGTGACACGTGAAATTTTGACAACAATAGAAAAGACTTGGCGCCAGCTGTAATTTTGTTGGCAACCAGACTTCTGGGATTTGTCCTGGCCCAACTTAACATAAAAGAAGTAGGAAGTTGGTAAACTTTTATTCTGCCTGGAAAATGAGTCCATTATATACACTATATGACCAAATATTTGTAGACCGCTGACCATCACACCTCCTATATGATGGAAAAATATGTGGCCCCTCTGCAGATTACTGGCGTCATCGTCCCCGCCGCTATGATGGCCTCCGGTTCTCTTCCCTTGATGAATAAAATTTATCAAGGGGGAGAACCACAGCCACTGCCGCTCTCAGGGAATCTGACGCTCCAGGCAAACGCCTTGGTTGCCTCACGGCTGATACGCCCCTGACTACAACATACAAGACATTGTAGACAATTGTGCTCTTCCAATCTTGTGGTAACAGTTTGAAGACACTTTTCTGTTTCACCATGACTGTCCCCTGTGTACAAAGACAGCCCCATAAAGACATGATGTGACCAGTCTGGTATGGAGGAACCTCAAGTGTCCTACACAGAGCCCTGACCTCAACCCTACTGGACACCTTTGGGATAAAAACCAAGTATGGCCTGCCAGCCTTGTGTTTACAGTTTTGTGAAAGACCCTTTTGTGATCCACCAGGACTGCCCCCTGTGTACAAAGCCAGCTCCGTAAAGACATGGTGTGACCAGTCTGGTGTGGAGGAACTCGAGTGTCCTGCACAGAGCCCTGACCTCAATGGTACTGAACACCTTTTGGGTTGATTTGGAATGTCAGTTGTGAGCCGGGTCTTCTTATCCAACATCAGTACCTGACCTCACAAATTCCCACAGATGCCCTCTAAGATCTTGTGGAAAGAAGAGTGGAGGAGGTTATAGCTGTAATGTGGGGATGGCTCCATATTTATGGCCATGGCTTTGGAATGGGATGTCTAACAAGCTCATATAGATGTGATGGTCAGGTGCCCACAAATATTTAGCCATATACTGTATTGTATATGGAACTGACCAGCGCTCCAAATCTACTGGAAGCAGACGTATATTTTTATGAAATAAAAAAAAAAAAATCTTAATTTTGTCTTTACAGCTGGTGGGTCAGTTTATTGCCAGAGCGGTTGGCGACGGGATCCTGAACCGGACCTACATGGAGAGTTATAAAGGCATAGTGGACTGTGAACACGCCCGGTATGATTTTATATTTATACTTTGTGCTTTTTAAGTAACGTATTGTGATGTCGCTCCCAATGGGAATGTGGTTTGGAGAGCAGCACAAGAGCGGACAAACCAGTTATGGAGCCAAATGCAGCCAAAAAGCCATTGAAGTTATTTAGATATAAGGCAGTAATTGGTGACAGTGGACACACTGAGGGGAATTGATCAAAACTGGAGCAGACAGAATCTGGAGCCCATGGCAACCAATCAGCTTCTATCTTTCATTTTTAAAGCTTACCTGAACAGAGTGAAAAGAGAAGCTGGTTACTATTGGCAACTGTTTCAGATTCTGCTCCAGCTTTGATAAATTCCCCCCCCATAATGACTGACCATTGTAACACTGATCTGTATGTTATGTCTCCTAGATCGGCCTTGAACCGGGCCACAATTCTGCTGGCCATGACTAAAGGCGGAAGAAAAATTGACAGTGTATGGGGGTCTGGAGGAGGACAGCAGCCTGTCAAAAAACTGGTTAAAGAGGTAAGTACTATTTCTGCCTATCTGATATGAAATAATTTACAGTATTGCTAGTTACATGTAACTGATTAGATAGAAGAATGGGATAAAGGGTAGATCTTGGATTTAAAAAACAAAAACAATAGTCTAATTATACCTACCAACCAAACAAGCAGCCATTCTGTTTAATGAAAAGTCAATCAGTTGAAAAAAACTTCATAGACATTTCAGGTTCATGGCCCCTCACACCCCAGCAATATCACTGGGGTGTGATGGGCCATATTATCTATTTGTAACAGGGCATTTATATAGCCCAGACATACTCTACATTCATATCAGCCCCTGCTCTCAAGGAGCTTACAATCTAGTGTCCCCATCACACCTACTAGGGACAATTTACACAGGAGCTAATTAACATTCCAGCATGTCTTCGGAGTGTGAGAGGAAACTGGAGTACCCGGAAGAAACCCACAAGCACAGGGATAAGATGTAAACTCCATGCAGATAGTGTTGTGGCCAGGATTTGAACTTAGGACCCCAGTTCTGCAAGGCAGAAGGACTTAACCATTGATGATGCGCTTGACCCTTGGGATGTAAGCAATTACATCCTGCAGCACTGATCAGAAGCCTCCGCAGTACCAAAAATCCTGACTGGTCCAATTTAAAACGTTGTTTGAAACTAGAGTGAGGAGAGAGTTTAAGGAAATGAATTGAACTTTCAGTTTATATTATATACACTAGGAATGCAGCGATACCGGTATTTCGGTATCGAGTATGAGTACCGATTTTTTTTTTTTCCGTACTCGCCAATATCGATACCGTAAGTCCAATTAAGGAAGCCAGGCGGCGTGTAAAGACTTGCCACCCGGCTTCCTGATTAACAGGGAAGCCGTCCCCATGCTTCTCGCCACTATGTGACGAGGAAGCATGGAGCCGGCTTTCTGGTCAATCAAGAAGCTGAGTGCTGAGTAATGACGCGGCACCCGGCTTCCTGATTGGCCGGGAAACCAGCTCAATGCTCCCTTGTAATGAGGTGACGAGGGAGCATGAAGCCGGCTTCCCGGCCAATTTAGAAAGCTAGGTGCCCGTCATTACACGGCGCCCAAGAGTTTAAGGAAATGAATTGAACTTTCAGTTTATATTATATACACTAGGAATGCAGCGATACCGGTATTTCGGTATCGAGTATGAGTACCGATTTTTTTTTTTTTCCGTACTCGCCAATATCGATACCGTAAGTCCAATTAAGGAAGCCAGGCGGCGTGTAAAGACTTGCCACCCGGCTTCCTGATTAACAGGGAAGCCGTCCCCATGCTTCTCGCCACTATGTGACGAGGAAGCATGGAGCCGGCTTTCTGGTCAATCAAGAAGCTGAGTGCTGAGTAATGACGCGGCACCCGGCTTCCTGATTGGCCGGGAAACCAGCTCAATGCTCCCTTGTAATGAGGTGACGAGGGAGCATGAAGCCGGCTTCCCGGCCAATTTAGAAAGCTAGGTGCCCGTCATTACACGGCGCCCGGTTTCCTGATTTGGCCGGCTTCCTGATTCGCCGGAAAGCCGTCTCCATGCTCTCTCGTCACAAGCGATTTGGCCAGCTTCCCTGCCAATCGGGAAGCCGGGCAGCGTGTAATGACCCGCTGCCCGGCTTCCTAATACAGGAAGTATCGGGCTAGGCATTGGAGCATTTGGGCGAGTAAGAGTACTCGCCCAAATACACGGCATCGGCACCGATACTAGTATCTCCATCGGTGCATCCCTAATATACACTTCAGGTGTGCAAAGTTTCACGGTTGATTTTCAGCATGATGCAGAGAAGGACCCTCGCTCTTTTTTGTAAAAGTAGTGGTCTCTCTGCAGAGGTCCAACACGACCTCTGTTTAAGTCCGACCTATAGCTTTCCAATCAGTGAGGAGCAAGGGCTTTACTGATTGCAGAGCTATAGGTCTAATTCAGCAGGGGGGGTCTCAGACCTCTGCAAAGAGATCGCGGTTTCCACACATAAAGCAATGATGCTTCTCTGCAGCATGCTGGAAACAGGACCGGTTTTCCTACTCTGGATACTTTCTAATGAAAATAAACTAACACTTTGCATACTTTATTTTTTAATACCTGGAATGTATTTAGCTGATTTAAACTGAAAGTTCAGTTAGGCTTTCACATTTTTACAAGCTTCCTTATTTTTATTGAAATAAAAAGGTTTGCAGATTGGCCACCAGAGGGAGCTCTCCCTGCTACTGCTGTTTAGCCGAAGGCTCCGCTAAGTATCTTTGCTGCTGAAAGAGTTAACTGCTTGTTGACAGTCGTCTCGTTCGAATCGTATTGCCTGATGTGTGTAGCAAATGTGATCGCTGCCAACAAGTAATGAAATCTTTCAGGAGCAAAGAGATTTAATCACCAGTGTAGCCTGGACTGGATGTTTCAAGCAGAAGTAAGGGGTTAGAAAAAAAGCCCCCGGGAGATTTTAGCCATAATGTGCTGGTATGCACAGCATATTGGCACACTATGGCAGACTTACCTGCCAGGACCATCCCCTCCAGGGCTGCGCTTCTCCCCCAGCGGCCCTTTCATCTTTGTCTCTGTCTTCTTCCAGCTTCTGATTCTTTGGCCTCTTATTTGGCCGGACCGCGATGACGTAACTCCCGTGCATTGGAGTTACTTCATCTCAGCATGCCGAGCCTGTGCACTCAAATGCGCATGCATGGCTCAGTGTACAGAAAAGAAAAATTGCTGACCGGCAAAAAGAAGCGTCTATGGCAAAGAGATTTACACAGTCACTTCTGTCAGAGTGCGCGTGTCAGCAATTTTATTTATTTAGACTTTACTTCCACTTTAACAGGGGGGGACACATAAAGGTACTGGGTGTTTTTTTTACCTTAGTGCATAGAGTGCATTAAAGGAGAACTATGAGGTGTGATTTTCACTCATCCTCATAGTTCTAGCCGACCTGTGAAAGGTAGACATTACCCTGTAAACAATAGGGCCTAGTGATTATAACCTGGAGAGAAGTGTCCATTCCTCGTAGTAACCGGTCAGGATGGATTTGACAGATTCTTCATAATTTTTCATTATTGTTATTTTTCTGTCTCGCTCGGATTAGATTGACATGCTGCTGAAAGAATTTGTGTTATCCTGGGATGTAGCTGAAGCTGAACGGTGTCTCCAGGAGCTGGAAGTTCCTCATTTCCACCATGAGCTTGTATACGAAGTAAGGACCGGTTTACACCTTTCCGGGCTGTTCATCCACCACAGTAATGCTCATCTGTTTTCTTCACAATGATTATGAAAGTGCATGTCTGGGCAAAAAAAAAAAAGTACTCTGTGTACCTCCACAATACATGCATATTTCGCTCTTTATACGTTCCAGCAAGTACAGGAAAATACTTGTAGATCTGCCTGAAATCCAGTGAGCTCCGGACTTCCTGTTTACTCTGCTGCTGCACTGAAATCAGAGCAGTGTTGTCGGCCCTGCCCAGTTCACCTTGCTGGATTACAGAAGTTTTCCCCTTTTATGTTATGGAGACGAGGCGACGGAGTTTTGTAGTCCAGTAGGAGATAACACAATATGTAACCATTGTCTCTGGTACAGGAAGAGGTGGGAAATGCAAACTCTGACAGGTCCATACACTTATGTGTTTCCAACAGATCCGTTTTAACTGCATCCTGTTCCTCTTTCTGCTGGCTTCTCCACAGGGACGGTTTTACCTATCTGCGGAAGACTTGCAGGGTTATTCACAAAAGGGGTGAAGAGCTTGGAGAAGGCCGGAGAAGTGAACAATCTAGGGGCCAAAATAGCTGATTTTTGAAAAATTCTCCAATTAAGCTCACTTTCCCGTTCAGCGATGTTGTCCTAGATCAGGGGTGCCCATTAGGTAGATCGCAAAGCGAAAACTGGTAGATCCCGATCGGCTCACTGACCTGTGTCCTGTCCTCCCGCGGTACTCGTGCGGCTGAATGTGGCAGATGCTGCTGACGGGAAGGAGAGAGGAGAGGAGACTTGGGAAGCTGCTGCAGTGGACGTGAGAAAAGACAGACAGGGGAGAGACAGCAGAGAAAGTGAGAGAAGACAGCGGAGAGAGAGAGAGAGAAGAGACAGCAGATAGGAACAGGGGAGAAAGAGAGGAGAGAGCGCAAGGAGAGAGAAAAGAGAGGGCCGGTTGACTTCACTGCACTGCCACGCCCCCTCCCGCCCCTGAATGCAGGTGTTTTACCCTTGTAGATCTCATTGAGCTCGTCATTTGAAAAGTAGATCTCCAGACGAAAAATTGTGGGCGCCCCTGTCCTAGATTGTTCTCTTCTCCCGCCTTCTCCAAAATCTTCACCCTTTTGTGAATAACTCGGTTAGAAGTGTTACTGTAACTAGAGGTGAGGGGAAAACTTCCAATGGGGGCACCTGTTCTAGGGAAAACTGTCTTGAAATAAACTTCCCCTTGCCTTGGACAGATTTCCTCTCACTTCCTGTTGTGCCTATGGGACAGAACATGAAGGGTCATTTCCCAGGTAGCAAAGAAAAAAAACTGACATGAGACTTGATCCTTCCCTACTCCAACATTGCCTAAAGGAACGCTTTGGATATAGATACACTTTACTGGGAGGGTCAGAAATAAATAGGAGGAAGATCGGAAGTAGATAGCACAGTAGGCATACAGGCAGAGGTGGAAGAAATTGGCGAGATAGATCCGATATAATACAATGCCATGTCTTATTACTTTATTTTTCGTCACAGGCTGTACTAATGGTTTTGGAAGCGAGTGGTGACACCACCTACAAGATGATGCTCCAGTTGTTAGAATCCCTGTGGAAATCAGGAGTGATTACATTGGATCAGATGAAAAGGGTAAGCCTGCCCTCTGGTGGTAAAAATGTAGATACTGCATTCAAAGGCACCATAGTTGGTAGGAGACATTGTTATCAGGGATGCACCGATACTGAGTATTTGGGTAGGTACTCGCCCAAATGCTCCGATACCTTCCCCAATACTGGAACTTCCGGTCAGAGGAAGATTTCCTCTGACCAGCAGTGCCATAGGGGAACATGGAGTCGGCTTCACGGGCAATCTGAAAGCCGGGTGGCGAGTAATGAGCCGCCTCCTGGCTTCCTGATTGGCTGGGAAGCTGGCTTTCCAGCCAATGCGCACCGAGCCGGCTCTCTGGCCAATCAGGAAGCTGGCTTCCTGATTGGCGAGGAAGCCGGCTCGATGCTGGTTGGCTGGGAAGCCTGTTTCCCGGGCAATCACAATCGAGCCGGCCTAACATGGAGCCGGCTTTCCAAGCAATCAGGAAGCCAGGCGGCATTTCATTACCCACCGCCCGGCTTCCTGATTGTCCGGGAAGCCAGCTCCATGCCAACGGAAGCACTGGTATTGGTACTCTGTATCGGCGAGTACCGAAAGCAAAATATGAGTACTCAATACCGAAAAACCGGTATCCGTGCATCCCTAATTGTTGTTGTTGTTATTATTATATTATGATAGAGGGTTTATTTTGCGCCAACAGTTTGCGCAGTGCTTTACAATATAAGCAAGACATTACAGTCACAGCAGGGCTGGACAAATCCCAGGAGCATGGTAGCCAATGCTCCTTAGAAATTACAGCCGGCGCCCATTTTTTGAGGGTTTCTCCAGTTGTTGTTGAATGAGCCGGCTCCCATACAACTCCTGCTGACTCCTGAATTCCATATTAAATTTGTCCACCCCTTGAATCAAGACAAGATGGTAAGGAGGGCCCTGCCCCTGAGAGCTCACAATCTGCATCAAAATTCATATGAGCCGGTTGCAGCCTGTTTTTACGATCTCTTTGATTATATAAAACTACTGCACTAGATTTAGTTTTATGCAGCATTTAGACCCAGACATTTGCGTGGATACATTTTAAGCTTTTATAGATTTCTGAACTTGGCTTAGTTGCTAGGAAGACGTGTCGGGGGGCCTTGGTTCAATTACCACCAGGGGTGAAGGAATTTGTATGGAATCTCTGTGCTTGTGTGGATGTCCCAAAAAAACCGGTAAACGTTGCAGATTAGGTTAGGGGACAGAAAGAGGTGGAAGCGGGGGGAAGATTAGAATAGACTTCAGGAACACTTCAGAGGAACTGAACCCAACAAAAAGGCAGGCAGAGGGCAAAGGACTGGTCACCAGTATTGCCTGTGGTCTCCCTGCAGCTGCTTGTTCTGTCCCTGTGTGGCCTTGGTAGAGGCAGGGCTTTGCTTCCTCATCTCCGAGCCCCTAGTAAGGAGAACAGTGAGCAGCACGGTAATGGTATTGCCAAATCCTACTCCAAATCTGAGATCAGCAGTGCCTGAGATCTCACACTGCAGAATATATATATTTATATTACACGCATACATACAACTGTTTATTATGACCACCTGACATTTGTGGGCAAATGAGCTATAATTTGGCGCTGAAGTTGCTGGAGGGCCAGACCATTATAAATAGGGAAGCGGGTTGGTTACCACGACAGTAGAAGTGATTTGTTTCTGAAGATACGGGGAAACAACGCGATGTAACAGCCTTTGAACGCGGGATGAGTGTTGGCGCTCGGAGCCATGGAGCGAGTATCAGCAAAACAGCAGAATTTGTTAAATGTTCAAGAGGGGCTCATTGTTAAAGTGTTTAAAGACCGGACTGTCAGCCGCAAATCTGGGTCTGAACGTGCGAATTGTGGCCGTCAGCGACCAGTCAATGTTAGGGCAGAACGGGGGAGGGGCAAGACTGGTACAAGACAACAGAAGGGCAACAGTGCCGTGTCAGATTCCTCGCAAAAGGAAAATTTTCCAGGATACTTCTGAGGCACAGTTATCATTTCTAAATATTCTCTATAATGAAGCAAATCTTTACTTTTTGATTTTGCTCCCACTCTACAGTAAGGAAAGTTTTTGTATTTGCACATTTTGGGTATTTGTTGTCCCTGTCTAATCAGATGCTGCTTTGTGTTTTGTTCCAGGGATACGATAGAATTTACCGTGAGATTCCAGACATAAATCTGGACGCACCGCATGCTTACTCCGTACTGGAACGCTTTGTGGAAGACTGCTTCAAAGCTGGGATCATATCCAAACAGATCAGGGATCAGTGTCCTTCAAGGTGATTGTCTTTATTTAAAGCCAAGCTCTGGGCCGGTTGTTTTCATCTTGGTGCTACTCACCCGAACCACCGAGCTGGCTGCCTGCTTCTCCAGTCACTGAAGCCTCTCTCCTCCTACGCTGCAGCATTGGAACTTGGCTCAGTGTCCTCGCCTCTATACACTGTGTATAGAACATAATGATTTATGGGACCTTAGACCACTGCAGAGGCAGAGAGAGGCTGGAAGGACCGGTCTGAGAGCAAGCCGGCTCGGAGGATCAAGTGACTGTAACAAGCAGTTATCCCTGGCAGTGCTGGGGTAGCCCCCACTTCAAGGGTTAATAAAAATTCTGCCCGGAGTCCTGCTTTCAAGTCTGTGATGCCATCGCTTTTAAAAGACAAAATGCTGTTATGCCTGGGCACCGCACACCAACATCATTGGCGGGGCCGCTGGAACAAACCAATTCCCATCATGCACTGGGAAATGTAGCTGGAAATGGGTGTGGGCTGGATTGTGGCTGTTCCTAAGTGTGCCAGTCATAGATTTTTGACTGTGCCCACATCGCTGCACACTGCTCATTACATGACCTCGCACCCTTCATTCCCGGCAGGCAAGAATGGGCAAGGTAGGAGTCTAACGGCCTGTCAATCAAGATTTGACCTCATTGTGGGCGGGACAGTATATGGGCATTCTTTGCCTGGGCACAGCACTGCATTGAAGGAGGGGGAGGGCAAAAATGTAACTTTTTTTTCTGATCAGCCATCTCTAACACGCCGTTAAGACCAAAGTAAGACCTTTCAAAGCGCTCTTCAATGGGAAGGGAGCAGCTAGAATTAATCTTCTTTCTTGATCTTCCTTGTAGAAACAATGAATTTTATGTGTAGTTTTAAATGGGTTCTGGCTTGGCTTTGGGTGCAGTAAATCAAGCGTTTTATCCTTGTGAATGTTTTATGGAACTTTTAATCCTTCAAAGCAGCCGAGTGAGGGGCAGCTTGTGTTCATGTACAGCAATCCAGTCGTGGAGGGCCCAGTCCCAGCGCATCCTCCCACCAGAAACTGGTTTTACACTTTATAGATTTATAGCCGAGCAAGTCGCTGAGCGGGAACAAGTGTGCAGCCAGTGAAAAGTCATGTCTTGTATAGTGGAATCAGGATGACATCCATGGAGCTAGCAAGTCACCAATGGCAGCTCCATTGCTTCAACAGTTTGCCTTTAAGCCCTCATTCACACTACAATCGGCCGGCACATACAGCTCCGTGCTGCGTGCGCGGCCGTATCGGGCAGCTCCCGGGAAGGTCAGGCGCTGTCTGTGATTAGTACGCAGCCCCCGCCCTTCTCTATGGGAATACGCCACTGTACGCCCCCCTACGCTCACCTCAAGTGCAGGTCCGTACGGATGCGGGTGTCCCGGCTCGGACGCAGACAGGATCCATCCTGTCAGCGTACGAGTACGCTCCCCTGCACCCCTACGGACGTGCAGGGCGGGTGAGCGTAGGGCGGCATATGGCCTCGTACTCCCATAGAAAAGGACGGGGGCTGCGTACTAATCACATGCAGCACCTGTCCTTCCCGGGAGCTGCCCGATACGACTAGCTGTACGTGCCGGCCGATTTCCATGTGAATGAGGGCTTAAGATGCACTTAAACTCTTCAGGTCCAGAAAGGTAGATAACTTCAATTGACGATAAGTTTACTCAGTTGGTAGGCGCAGCACATGCAGACATCAGCGACTACCTTGACATCAGACGATTACAGCAAGCTACATTTGTTGACCTGTTCATTGTATCTTGGTATTATTACAGTGGACTAGGTAAAGGTCTGGGAGGCCATGGGGCACATTGCCGGGTGAGCATTGTTGCCAGTCTCCCTAGTGCCAGCGAGCACTTTTTATCTACACTTAAAGCTGAAGTTACATAGTTAGTCAGGTTGAAAAAAGACACAAGTCCATTGAGTTCAACCTACAGAGGAAAGAAGAAAAACCTTAAACCGAACACTATGTCCACAGTTACCCACTGGAAGGACGGAGGTCAGATAGAAGACTGAAGGGGGGGACGGAGGGCAGATAGAAGACTGAAGGGGAGGACGGAGGTCAGATAGAAGACTGAAGGAGAGGACGGAGGTCAGATAGAAGACTGAAGGAGAGGACGGAGGTCAGATAGAAGACTGAAGGAGAGGACGGAGGTCAGATAGAAGACTGAAGGAGAGGACGGAGGTCAGATAGAAGACTGAAGGAGAGGACGGAGGTCAGATAGAAGACTGAAGGAGAGGACGGAGGTCAGATAGAAGACTGAAGGAGAGGACGGAGGTCAGATAGAAGACTGAAGGAGAGGACGGAGGTCAGATAGAAGACTGAAGGAGAGGACGGAGGTCAGATAGAAGACTGAAGGAGAGGACGGAGGTCAGATAGAAGACTGAAGGAGAGGACGGAGGTCAGATAGAAGACTGAAGGAGAGGACGGAGGTCAGATAGAAGACTGAAGGAGAGGACGGAGGTCAGATAGAAGACTGAAGGAGAGGACGGAGGTCAGATAGAAGACTGAAGGAGAGGACGGAGGTCAGATAGAAGACTGAAGGAGAGGACGGAGGTCAGATAGAAGACTGAAGGAGAGGACGGAGGTCAGATAGAAGACTGAAGGAGAGGACGGAGGTCAGATAGAAGACTGAAGGAGAGGACGGAGGTCAGATAGAAGACTGAAGGAGAGGACGGAGGTCAGATAGAAGACTGAAGGAGAGGACGGAGGTCAGATAGAAGACTGAAGGAGAGGACGGAGGTCAGATAGAAGACTGAAGGAGAGGACGGAGGTCAGATAGAAGACTGAAGGAGAGGACGGAGGTCAGATAGAAGACTGAAGGAGAGGACGGAGGTCAGATAGAAGACTGAAGGAGAGGACGGAGGTCAGATAGAAGACTGAAGGAGAGGACGGAGGTCAGATAGAAGACTGAAGGAGAGGACGGAGGTCAGATAGAAGACTGAAGGAGAGGACGGAGGTCAGATAGAAGACTGAAGGAGAGGACGGAGGTCAGATAGAAGACTGAAGGAGAGGACGGAGGTCAGATAGAAGACTGAAGGAGAGGACGGAGGTCAGATAGAAGACTGAAGGAGAGGACGGAGGTCAGATAGAAGACTGAAGGAGAGGACGGAGGTCAGATAGAAGACTGAAGGAGAGGACGGAGGTCAGATAGAAGACTGAAGGAGAGGACGGAGGTCAGATAGAAGACTGAAGGAGAGGACGGAGGTCAGATAGAAGACTGAAGGAGAGGACGGAGGTCAGATAGAAGACTGAAGGAGAGGACGGAGGTCAGATAGAAGACTGAAGGAGAGGACGGAGGTCAGATAGAAGACTGAAGGAGAGGACGGAGGTCAGATAGAAGACTGAAGGAGAGGACGGAGGTCAGATAGAAGACTGAAGGAGAGGACGGAGGTCAGATAGAAGACTGAAGGAGAGGACGGAGGTCAGATAGAAGACTGAAGGAGAGGACGGAGGTCAGATAGAAGACTGAAGGAGAGGACGGAGGTCAGATAGAAGACTGAAGGGAAGGCCGGAGGTCAGATAGAAGACGGAAGGGAAGGCCGGAGGTCAGCTTTAAAGAATACTGCACCCCACTATGCCGCCATCATTTTAAATGCATTATATTCTTGTGCGTCTATTGTCTCATGATGGTGTTGATGATCTTTATTGTCCCGCTCTCATTGCAGGGGAAGAAAACGCTTTGTGAGCGAAGGAGACGGAGGGCGTCTGAAATTAGAGAGCTACTAAAAGCGAAGACGAGGCAAAGACGCATGTCCGAACACCGTTGGATGTTTGATCAATCTCCTCTCTCTCTCTCTCTCTCTCTCTTGTTCTGGGTACAGAGCCTTTGTAAATTTAGTTTTCTATGATAAACCGTTGCACAAGTAAAGTGTTTGGGGAGGTAGATGTACAGCAAAAGATGACATAAGCTACGAATCTTGAAGTGCCATTTGTTCCAAGTTCATTCCACATTCACGGCGTCCCCTCTCCACCTTTTTTCTTTTTATGTGGCAATCCACGCAGCCTGGAACGCGTTTCATGGCGAGGAGGGTGCGCGCGCGGTGACTCCGTGTTTGCTGCTGCTCGTTCATATTTTTTTTTTTCGGAGGTGGAAATTAAGAACTGACTTGTTCCGAATCGTTTTTCCACTCGTGTCGGAGGCGCAAAAACATTGCTTTTTTTTTTTTGTAAACGGCAAGACGATGAGGGATAGGGGCAATGGGATAAATATTTTTATTCAGCTTTCCAAAAGAAAATAAATTTTGATGTGAAAGTAACAGAGTATGGTGGCTGGAACATCTATTTTTCTACAAAAAAAGTTAAAAAAAAAACTGGATTATAAGTGTGAGTTCTGCTAAAATGTGCGTGTACATATGACAAAAGAACAATAAATCTGTTTAGTGGAGCACAGATGGCGTCAGCGGGTTTTTTTTTGTCACTGGCTTTGGGGATGCTCCTTCTGTATTGGTCCTTTTGACTCTTCTACAACCATGTGTCATGGTAAGGTCTTATGTAGACCGGCAATGTTTTTCTGTTTTAACGCACGTTTGAAAAAACATGCATTTGGCCTCATTCGCACAGCGTAGAGTGGGGCTGTACAGATCCGTGCGGCGTATCGTGCCGTCCCCGTGAAGGACTGGTGCTGCGTGTAATTGTATGCAGCAGCCTCTTCTCTATGGGAGTATGCGGCCGTACGCTCACCCGAGCTGCACATCCGTGCGGGTGTCTGTGCTCGGACACAGATAGAATCCATCCTGTCTGCTTCCGAGTACGGACACCCGCACGGATGTGCAGCTGGGGTCAGCGTATGGCCGCGTACTCCCATAGGGGAGTTTGTACAATCGCACGCAGCACCCGTCCTTCCCGGGAACGGCCCGATACGGTCGTGCACACTCCGCACGGATCTGTACGGGCCGACTAAGCTGCGTGAATGAGGCCTCAAAGAGGAACTCTAGAAGTTGTAAAATTAGCCCTTGCAATGGGGCACCCCCACACTGAAAGGGTTAACGGCTCATTTATCTCTAGGGGCCATAATAAAGAAGATATACTCGCCCGATCCTCGGTCCTGCGGCAGGTCAGTGCTCACTTCCCTCCTGCTCTGGCAGCGAAATGTCCCTCTGCGTCCTCACGTCTAATGCACTTGCATTAGACGTGATGACATCACAGGTCCTTAGACTGCAGAAGCCCGGGGCTGAAGAGGCTCTGGGGACCAGTCTAGCAGCCAGACGAGACTGGGAATCAGGTGAGTATATATATATTCTTTATTTTAACCCCCAGACTAATCCGAGCAGTTAACCCTTGCAGTGCAGGGGTAGCCCCATTACAAGTGATTATTTTTCACAATTCCTGGAATTCTGCATAAAAGATGGTCGATCTTGCCCCTGGGTCCTCTCTACCTCTATCCTTTGCCTTACCCACATATCCCCCCGGTATGGTTACCATCTTCTCTCTCCTTTCCCCTACCTAGACACACATGTAGGGCCCTGCTTTAGCCAAGTGTATCGCCTTGAGTGTCCGAGTACACAAACATAAGGGTGCTCCCCGCCGACATAACCACCGGTTCTTATTTGGTATTTATAAAAGCCTACTGTTCAGATAGATCTGTAAAAAAAATAAGTCAAGGCAACTGGACTGGCTGTATTTTTCTTGAAGACGTTTCACTGGTCATCCGACCGGCTTTCTCAATTCAGATAGAGCTGGTTGGATGAGCTGTTTAGATAGAGCTTTAAATTACAGTGCACACTCACATCAGTCCCTACCCACAAGGAGCTTACAATCTAAGGTCCCTATCTCACATACATACATACGAGGGCCAATTTAGAAAGAAGCAAATTAACCTTCCAGCATGTCTTTTGAGTGTGGGAGGAAACCCACAAAAGCACAAGAAGAACATGCAAACTCCTTTGCGATAGTGTCCTAACCAGGGACCCTTGGTGCTCTTAAGGCAGAAGTGCTAACCACTACACCACTGTGATGCTCTGTGCCCTAAAACACAGGGAGGGGTATTCATCAGATATGGAGGCGCTGTGCATGACAACCAATCACCTTCTATCTTTCATTTTTAAAGCTTAACTGAACAGAAGCTGATTGGTTACTATGGGAAACAGCTCCAGATTCTGTCTGCTCCAGTTATGATAAATCCCCCTCCCTGTCTTTTAAGGCAAAGTGGTTAGCACTTCTGCTCTGCTCAGGCTATGGGCAACACAGTGATGATGTCATCAGTGGCATCATCGCTGTATTGCCCATAGCCTGAGCAGAGCTGTGGAAGGAACCCAGCAGGCCCCACCCACTACAGGCTGCCTGCAGAAAACTACAGGAGGGGGCGGAGACGAGACCATTACCTGCACAAGGAGAGCAGCAGTGTTCAGTCTTTATTACAGGAGGGGGCGGAGACAAGACCAGTCACCCTGCACAAGAAGAGAGAGCAGCAGTGACTGGTCTTTATTACAGGAGGGGGCGGAGACAAGGCCAATCGCCCTACACAAGGAGAGAGAGCAGCAGTGTTCAGTCTTTATTACAGGAGGGGGCGGAGACAAGACCAGACACCCAGCACAAGGAGAGAGCAGCAGTGACCGGTCTTTATTACAGGAGGAGGCGGAGACAAGACCGGTCACCCTGCACAAGGAGAGAGAGCAGCAGTGTTCAGTCTTTATTACAGGAGGGGGCAGAGACGAGGCCAATCACCCTGCACAAGGAGAGAGAGCTGCAGTAAGCGGTCTAGGAAGCTCCTGCGGGTGTTGTTCAGTGCTGGATTACTGCACAGATGTGGAAGAAGTACACAGAGGATGCCAAGATTCAGGCAAGAATAGACACAGTGCTTTTATTTAGAGAATATTTGTGTGGTTTTAATTCTGGATGGAATAAAGTAGATAAAACCAGTTGGATATCTGCGATTAGCTTTTATTATTATTATTCTGAAGTAACACATAAAATACTGGAAGAACTACTCAACAACTGGCCATTCTATAACGAGCACTTTATATCTGTATAGAGGGGAGGGTTATGTTCTATATGCAGTCCCTCTATGATGGACCCGTCGGGTTTGGGCTTTCTATACAGAGCACTGTACAGATGGGAAGGTCGTGTTTTCTATCTGCAGTCCCTCTATAAGGGACCCGTCAGGCTTGGGAATTCTTTAAGGCTTCTTCCTCAGAGGCGGGGAAAAAAATGAAATGTTTGGACTCATGTTGGTCTATGGGGAGTCGGATGTGTCAGTTTACGTCAGATTACTCCGTTCCTCTTCAATGGAGTTTTGTTTGGGTTTTTTGGGGGGATCTTGCTTGAGTCGGGGGGTAATCAGATGTGAGCAGACGCATATTCATTTAGATCCGGCTGTCCATAGATTAACATTGGGCTTCCAATCAGAACCATCTGAAAATTTGACAAGCGGACCTGATCGGAATGCCCGTGTGAAGGGGCTCAAACAAGCACTTTACATCTGTTCAGACGAGGCTCATGTTCTATATGCGGTCCCTTTTATAATCGACCAATCAGGTTTGAGCATTCTATAACAAGCACTATACATCTGTACAGACAGGTGGGTCATGTTCTATCTGGAGTCCCTCTGAGATCGACCAATCAGGTTTGAGCATTCTATAACAAGCACTATACATCTGTACAGACGAGGCTCATGTTCTATATGCGGTCCCTTTATAATCGACCAATCAGGTTTGAGCATTCTATAACAAGCACTATACATCTGTACAGACGAGGCTCATGTTCTATATGCGGTCCCTTTTATAATCGACCAATCAGGTTTGAGCATTCTATAACAAGCACTATACATCTGTACAGACAGGTGGGTCATGTTCTATCTGGAGTCCCTTTATAATCGACCAATCAGGTTTGAGCATTCTATAACAAGCACTATACATCTGTACAGACGAGGCTCATGTTCTATATGCGGTCCCTTTTATAATCGACCAATCAGGTTTGAGCATTCTATAACGAGCACTATACATCTGTACAGACAGGTGGGTCATGTTCTATCTGGAGTCCCTCTGAGATCGACCAATCAGGTTTGAGCATTCTATAACAAGCACTATACATCTGTACAGACGAGGCTCATGTTCTATATGCGGTCCCTTTTATAATCGACCAATCAGGTTTGAGCATTCTATAACAAGCACTATACATCTGTACAGACAGGAAGGTCACGTCCTATCTTGAGTCCCTCTAAGATGGACGGGTCAGGTTTGCGCATTCTGCTGATCCAGCTGAGCCATTTCCTGCTGGCGGATGACTTCCTGGGCATCGCGCTGCATCTTCTCCAGCTTTGTTAGCGTTATTGACTTCAGAGGTAAAAGTTTCGGCTTACACAACACCATGGTGGGGACGTCTTCAACAAATAGCTGCCCTGCAAAAACAGATCCAACATTCTGTTAATGTGTCTTTGTAATGCAAGCTTAAAAACGGAGCACCTCCAGCTGGGAACTACAAATACGAGGCTTTTTATAACATTAAGGGACTCCCTATGAGGAAAATTCCTCCAGTCCAGTGCAGAATCACCTGTCCATCCTCTGCTCTTTGTAATCTATGTATAGCTTTTGGTAAAACGAGGAAGGGTTAGAAACCAGTTTTTATTGCGCTCTTGTTACCCACTTGACACCTGTAACAGGAAGTGTGGGGAAATCTCCCTAGTGACAGTGGGCCCACAGACCCAACCTGCCGCTCTTTAGCACTTATTGATCAGCCCCCCTGGGCCCATGCAGACAGGATTCTGTGTTTTCCTAACCAAGGTGCTTAGTCATGACAGTAAAAGAAAAATATGGATTTTGTAGTCACGGTAAAATTCTTATCTTCCAGTACATTGAGTGACACAGGAAGTCTTAAAGTGACATTAAACCCTCAGATTTTTTTAACATAAAACAATAGTGTAATGTGCGCCTTACTGTAATCCATGGTTGTTTCCCTTCTCTTTGTTGGTCTTCCTTTTAAATCTGCATCTCTTCTCATGCTTGGGGAGAACTTCCCTTTGCAGCAGACTGCCTTGTCTCAGGAATGGCTACATGGTGTCTGTGTGAAGGTTCGCAACCTGAGCCAGCACTACAGGAAGAGGCACTCAGCTGCAAAGGGAAGTTCTCCCCAAGCATGAGAAGACATGAGGATTTAAAAGGAAGAGCAGCAAAGAGAAGGGCAACTACCATGGGTTACAGTGAGGCGCACATTACAGTATTGTTTTATGTTAAAAAAATCTGAGGGTTTAATGTCACTTTAAACCTAAAGGTTATTCTGCTGCCTACAGGAGGATTGGACACTGGCAAACAAACTGTATGCCAGCCCAGGATAACCCCTCCTACTACCAGCAGTACCAAGAACATGATCATAAACACAGAAGAATGAGACCTGTGTCCCTCAAGGTACGCCTAAGATAAAGATTTTAGGGCGAGTATAACATTTCTATTTTCTTTCTTGTCCATTGAAAGACACAGGAAGGCTTAAACCTTCGCAATATCACAAAGCAGCCAAACGAAGGGATTGCAAAGACAACAAACAAATTTGAGCAGGTCCAAGAAACAACAGAAAATTGGGAACTTTCTGCAGCTCGAAGAGCCACCTAAGGCCTCATTCACACTGCGCGATTCGCAAATCGCGCGATTTGCATTTTGCTACGATTTGTCGCGCGATATATATCGCGCAAATGCTCGCATTGAGCAAGCGAGAATCGCAGAAAAATCCGCTCCAAAAAGGGTCCTGCTGTAGCGACACACGACCCGCGACAGCAGGACCCTTTGCCCCATTGCAAAGCATTGAAGAGCGATATCGCGCTGTAAATAGCCGCGATATCGCGGGAATTACCGCGCGATAAATCGCTCAATGTGAACGGGGCCTAAAGGACCTTACACCTGAAGCTGGTATCAGATGAGGCAGAAAAGTCCACCTGGTAGAACGTGTGATCAGAAAACTAGGTGGCAGCTTTGCAAATCCAGCCTCCAACAGCCTTCTGTTCTGTGAAGCAGGATGGCAAATTAGATCCTGACCATCCGCCGGGGGCCCACGGAGCTTCTTCCAGCAGATTGGCATACCACAGGGGCCGGGGCCAGTCTGGAGCAATGGCAATCACAGGATTGCTCTCCATCTCATTCCTGTGAAGCAAATGAGGGAGAAATATCTGGGGAGGAAAGGCATAGATCATGGTGTACTGCTTCCACTAGAGGATCTTGGTACCTGTAGACAGACCTGCCCAGTTTGATGTTGAACCTGGAGGTCAGGAGATCCACATCTGGCATCCTACACCTGCATCACAGGTCCTAGAACACTTCTGGGTGTAGGGGACACTACCCTGAGCCCAAACGTTGTCCTCGGTTGAGGAAATCTGCTCCCAACTGTCTATGTCTAGAATGTACGTGGCGGTGTGTGAGGAAACAAAGGACATTTCCTAACAGGAAGAAAACTTTTCAGGCTGCTCATTAAGCTTCTTCCCCTTAGGAAGATTGGTGATCTTTCCATCAGTAGCACCCTTCATGATACTGTCAAGAGCTAGTCTGAAGAGACATTGTCTCTGGAAGGCCATGCAGATCAAATGCTTTTTACACAAGGGCTCCGCAGTCCAGCACTTTAGCTAAAGTGCCCTAAGCATATGCATTGACATGAGACACATGGGAGAGATAAAAAGAGAGGCTTCTAGGAAACAGACAGAGCAGCGGTAATAGGGGATATTGGGGAGGGATTTAGACCAGTAAGACCCGATTGGACAAAGTAAGATTACAGCCAAAATCGGATCAGAAAGAACAGGGGTCTAGAAAATACTTCTGTTTATCGGTTGGGTCCTTAAAAGAGAACTATGGGGTAAGTGTTTTTCTCCATAGTTCTCTTAAGGGTCACGGAAGGACATATACTAGCGCCCTCCCGTGACCCAAAGCTCAGTATATCGCAAGCTACAACTCGCGGTATACTGAGACCACCGCAGTCGAGACGGATCCCGACATTACTGTCGAGATCCACCCAGCTGTGTGAGTGACAGCTGGCTCTGCCTATCTAGAGGCAGAGCACGCTGTACCCGCCCCCTCCCCGTCTGTTCCATTATTGTGACACGTCGGCTCGAACTATGAGGATGAGTGAAAATCACACCCCTCATAGTTCTCCTTTAAAGACAGGTGCATCCTCTATCGGGACGGTAAGCATCATGTTAGGGCGTGACACTACTGGACTCACGGTGGAAATAGACGACTTCTGCACGAAATCCTCACCAAATGGATACAAGTGCTGAAGGTGAGCAAACAGTTTATCGGGATGTTTCCAAACTCCATAAAGAAAGAATTGGCAAAGCGGGTGCAATGGGCAAGTCTCTGCGACCTTAGGAATTCTAAACAGCCCAAGGCTGGAGACAGCACTGGTAGAAGCAACAGACCGATTCTCTAGTGTCAGAATGGTGTGCACTGAATCAATTAGGGTGCCCACACACCTTACGATAATTGTACGATAATGGCGGGAAATCCCGCGATCGTACGATTATCGTAAGGTGTGTGGAAGCCGTGCGACCTCTACTACTGTAAGGTCGCACGACTTTAAACTTACGAACATGTTCGAAAACCCGCCGAGCATCGTACGATGTTCGGCGGGCGTGTAGCATGTTCGTAAGATAAAAGCCGGGCGGGTCGGTGTCCGCAAGCGCACACTGCCCGTTCGGCATTGCGGTCATTGGAAGCCAGCCCCTCAGGGGGGCGCGGCTTGCGATCATCGCAAGTACGATCTGCTTGTCTAGATAGGCAGATCGTATGTTTTTTTAAGTACCTTACAACCCTCGCAAGACAAAAGTCTTGCAATGTTTGTAAGGTGTGTGCCCAGCCTTAGAGCCATAAGGTCTTCTCTAAATTTGGAGTAATAGCTGTAGACTGTGACCCATCAGGCGTAAACTCATTAGTCAAGGACCGAAGCGACTCAGAATCAGACAGTCTCTGTGTTTGAGGCTGCAGGCAAATCAGATATAAAACCAGCAGGGGAAGGCGCGGGAGTGCGCTTGTGGTTTCGGCAAATAACTGAGTGATTTTGGTTGTAAAGTCTTGCGTGACTGTTAAAAACCTCAGCCCAGTGGGAAGAGGATCCAGTCACACCCGATGAAGCCAAAGAGGACTCTGAGGACGGGACCGACTCACAGAGCAGAGGGTAACCTGATTCCAGGCTGCAGCTGTTGGCACTGTCAGAAGAGGCCCTGAAGCCACTGCAAGAAAGTGAGCTGGGGCACCGGGTACAAAGAAAGTCAGCTGTGTTGTGACTGTGTGGTGATAAGGTAACATAGAGGTTCAGGTACCTATGAAACCCAGACAGCCAATAGCAGGGGAGGATTAAATAGCTGGAAGTGACCACAGTCACTGTGGTCAGGCAGCAGGAACGGATCAAAGTTCCACGTGGCTCTTTGCAAGCAGCAAAGAGATGCTTTCTCGATGCTGCACAATGGAAAACATAGAATGGAGTGTGCACGACTCTCAACCCAGCAGATGGTGTCAGTGCTCAATCCCACAGCAATGACACCTTCCGTGGCAGAAATGGCAGGAAGAGGGAATAATGGCTTCCGGTGGCCTAAGTAAATGAGGTAGCTCCGGTGCTTGGCCTGACCGGCCTACTCACTAAGGGGGGTCTTCAGAGTCCGGGTAAGAACTGGGGTAATGCCAGCGCCTCTGCAGCCTGGAAAGCACCCCAGATGGAACCCAGTGCCTGAAGGTCACTTCAAGCGGGGTCCGGACATATAAAACACGGCATGTTACTGTACCTGCAGAAGTGATCGCTTCCAATAGAAGAAGTAGATGGCTTAGGAAATGTAAATAAACGCCCAGCTGCTATAGCAACCGTGAGTTTCTGTATACGCCCACTCTACCACCAACATATGACATACATCGGTGGCAGCGAAGGGATTCAACTGAACATTCAAATTTGCTTTACAAATATTTTCACTCACCTTGCTTAGGGAGAACCTCCCGAAACATCGACTTCACTTCTGGCATCCCGGAGACCTAGAGACACGAAAACAAAGGAAGACACACATTGTTATAAGTACATTACCGGCTATTGTGAGCATATTTAACGTCACACTTATGTTACAAAATGTGACATCACCTATAATCTTTATACCAGTGTACTGCCAAAAAAATGCTGCCCCCCTCCCCCCCCCCCTCCAAAAGATGGAGTTCAGGTGTCTCCAGTGAAGGGTCCGGGTAATGCTACAGAATACAAAGACATTGTAGACAGTTGCGCTCTTCCAGCCTTGTGGTGACAGTTTGGTGAAGACCCTTTTCTGTTCCACCATGACTGTCCCCCGTGTGCCAGCTCCATAAAGACACGGTGTGACCAGTTGGGTGTGGAAGAACTCGAGTGTCCTGCTCAGAGTCCTGACCTCAACCCAACTGAACACCTTTGGGATGAATTAGAATGCCGAGTGTGAGCAAAATGGGCAAATTCCTGCAGCCCAGAGGTCCCCTGACCTGTCAGTCACCTGATGTGGGCAAGGATGGGCAGGACATCCCAGAGGTCCCCTGACCTGTCATTCACCTGATGTGGGCAAGGATGGGCAAGACAGTACAGAGGTCCCATGACCTGTCAGTCACCTGATGTGGGCAAGGATGGGCAAGACAGTACAGAGGTCCCATGACCTGTCAGTCATCTGATGCAGGAAAGGATGGGCAGGACAGTCCAGAGGTCCCCTGACCTGTCAGTCACCTGATGCAGACAAGGATGGGCGGGACATCCCAGAGGTCCCCTGACCTGTCATTCACCTGATGTGGGCAAGGATGGACGGGACATCCCAGAGGTCCCCTGACCTGTCATTCACCTGATGTGGGCAAGGATGGGCAAGACAGTCCAGAGGTCCCATGACCTGTCAGTCACCCGATGCAGGAAAGGATGGGCAGGACAGTCCAGAGGTCCCCTGACCTGTCAGTCACCTGATGCAGACAAGGATGGGCGGGACATCCCAGAGGTCCCCTGACCTGTCATTCACCTGATGTGGGCAAGGATGGGCGGGACAGTCCAGAGGTCCCCTGACCTATACTTCACCTGATGCAGGCAAGGATGGGCGGGACAGTCCAGAGGTCCCCTGACCTGTCATTCACCTAATGCAGGCAAGGATGGGCAGGACAGCCCAGAGGTCCCCTGACCTGTCATTCACCTAATGCAGGCAAGGATGGGCGGGACAGCCCAGAGGACCCCTGACCTGTCAGTCACCTGAAGCAGGCAAGGATTGGCGGGACAGCCCAGAGGTCCCCTGACCTGTCAGTCACCTGATGCAGGCAAAGATTGGCGGGACAGCCCAGAGGTCCCCTGACCTGTCAGTCACCCGAAGCAGGCAAGGATGGGGGGGACAATCCAGAGGTCCCCTGACCTGTCATTCACCTAATGCAGGGAAGGATGGGCGTGACAGCCCAGAGGTCCTGTCAGTCACCTGATGTGGGCAAGGAGGATCAAGACCTGACCTCAAAATGGACAAATTCCTACAGTCTGGAGGTCCCCTGACCTGTCAGTCACCTCATGCAGTCAAGGATGGGTGGGACAATCCAGGGATCCCTTGACCTGTCAATCACATAAAAGAACTACACTGGGGTGGTTACTATTTTCATTGGAGGCAGAAAATAATGGAAATTCTAAATGTGTTGGTTGTCCCCACAACAGGAAGTGAGGGGAAATTTTTCCAATGGGGATGCCTGTTCACTGTGACAACTAAGAAGAATTTTCCTCCCACCTTGTGGTTATTTTCTCGCTACCTGTTGTCTCCAGGGCAGGAAGTGAAGTGAAATCTCTTCAACGGGATACAGACAGCAAAATATAAACAGGCAGGGATTTATTTTAACCCTTCCCTACTCCATGCAAGTGACCTGTTATGGCTAGTCTCAGTCTCTACACAATGGCAGCAGGTAAGAATTCACAATGGAGGATGCTAAAACCCCTGTGAGATGTATGTAGATGACATAGAGAAGATTAATCTTGTTTCTCCTTACACATCTCCCCCGGCAGTGAAGGTGGCCATACTGGGGTACCCCTTCAGCACCCACTCGTCTCCCCTGAGCCCACCCAGGCCTCCCCCACTGCCTTGTTTACCTCTATTCCTGCAGAAGAAGGGCCGCAGATCCGCTTGTTGCCGGGCAACAGCTGACGTCCCCACGTCAAGCGTGTGCTCTTCGCATTGCATCATGGCACATGTAGTCCTAATACATCAACTAGGCACAATTGGCCGTTGTGTACACTAAACACCGTTCTATGTGACATTTCCAGCCTTAAAAGGTTTAAGTAAGTTAACAGAACGATAATTTAAATGTGAAATCACGGTCTTTTATTTTCTGTTCACGGTGATATGGAATTGTCTTTTTTGAATAAAGATTGTTGAAAAAAGTAAAAAAAATCTCGAGAGAACGCATGTGGGGGTCACGTGACGCCAACAAGCGGGTGGGTTGTAGTGACAGCTGGATCACGTGAGGCGGAGGGCGGTGAGCGTGGTGACGTCATGCGACGCAGCGCGGAGGAGGCGGAGCGGAGGAGGAGGAGGAGGAGGAGGAGGATGGCGGCGGTGGTGGTGGCGGCGGCGGGCAGCAGAGCGGGGAGACGGGCGGAGGAATAACAACAACATGACGGTGAGCGGAACCCCGGGG